CATTGTGCTTACGCTACAGCATTTTATTAATGAAATGAAACAGTGTAGATGACACCAGGCTCAAGCAGGTAAAAAAAAAGACATGATGAAGATTCATAAGTAGGCACTTCAGAATACTACAGTAATTAGTTCTGATATTTTGCAATCTCCTTTTCAATCAACACGTAATAGCTTTTTTTTTTTTTTTAACAGGAAAAGGCAAAGCATGGCACCACAGATGCTTCTACATGGTATACTGAATGACAATAGTGAAGAAAATTTCCTCAGAAGATAAAACTTAAACACAGGATATTTTGTTTCTCACGTTGGGAGAAAAGATGGCTTGAGCAATGGATTTGTTCTACCTTATGAGTAAGAGTTAACAGATTTGTGTAGCCACTCAGTGGCTTATTTAGAATAAACTGAGATTAGCAACAATGAGGTCTGGAACAAAAGGATGCAGATGGACTTCTTGGAATAGGCAACAGAAGAGGTCTTCTACTCTAAATAATCAGCCAGACAAGATGAAGAGTCCTCTGTAGACCAATCTTTTTTATCCATCTACTCTGGTGCTTTCTCAATGAACCCACATACAAAGAGGCCATAACAATAGGGTTAGAGGATACGATTTCATCATGACATATTTCAACCTAACCAAAACTGGACCGACTATCCACCCTAGCTGAGTACCAAACTTGCAAAGAGCAGAAAACAATAGTGAGTTCCTGATTTTGCACCACTCCCAGATAGAACTGCTAACCACTTGGCAAGAAATGATTACATTGTACCCCTTTATTCACTGAAGAGGCAGGTACTCATCCTCTTGAACATAACTAATTTTGGTGTTTTTTTCTTTCCATGACTTAATCCTGCTAGTATCATCTTTTGTAGACTAATCAGTTGTTTCATTCACTACCATGTTAACTCCGTACAACACTATCTCAATTCACCATTTTATTGAGGAAATGGATCCATACCCATGTAATTGATCTTACTATGTACCTCATACATAGTAGCAGCCAACCTGATAGAAGAGTGAAGTGGCCTATTGAAAACTCAGTCATGACACTAGCTGGGAGACACTTTGAGAGGTTGGCATGTTAACCAACAGAATAAGGTATATATCTTAAGCTAGCAACCGATACATGGCATTTTTTCCTGAGACAGAATTGAAGGGAATGGGTACTAAGAAATGAAGGTAGGAATGGCTGCAATTATACGTAATAACCTGCTTATCTTTATGTTTTTGTTTTGTTTGTCTTCCTCCACCATAACTTAGTGAGTTTGGAAGGTTCTACTTTCTAAGGGAGAAAAGCTTCCACTAGGTAATACATCTATAATTTTATTAACTGATTGCTGCAATTGTCCACTGGGTACACATGGATCAAAAATGTAAATACGGGAGTTACTTTTCTGGCTAGAGTGATTGATTTTTGTCTTAGTCAGCTTGGGCTACTATAACAAAATAGCAGAGACTGGGTGGCTTAAATAACAGACATTTATTTTTTATAGTTCTGGAGGCTGGGAATTCTGAGATGAGAGTGCCAGTAGGACTGGGTTTTTGCTGAGGGTTCCCTTCCTTTTTACAGACAGCCACCTTCTTGCGGTGTGCTCACATGGCAGGGAGAGAGCTCTAGTTTCTTCATCTATTTAAATGGGCCCCAAACATTCAGTCCATCCAGTCTTGATTACCAGGGGGAAATTAGATTGCTACTATACAGGTTGGGGGCAAAGGAAAGTGAGTTAATAAAAAGGGGCCAGAAACAAGTGGACCTATGTAAACAAAAATTCATTACCCCTTGAAGTAAAGAACCAGTCAAGGCAAAATGCTGCCAGAAGAGAAACTGAATATGAAATGATGGAAATGACTTGTTTTATGCAAGTCTGATTTCTTACTCACAAGTTTAAGGCACAGGTCTGGATTATTTTAAAAAGTATTTCTCGAACCATGAGAGACTATGGACTCTGAAAAACAAACTGAGGGTTCTAGAGGGGAGGGGGGTGGGGGGATGGGTTAGCCTGGTGGTAGGTATTAAAGAGGGCACGTTCTGCATGGAGCACTGTTACACGCAAACAATGAATCATGGAACACTACATCAAAAACTAATGATGTAATGTATGGTGATTAACATAACATAATAAAAAATTAATAATAGAAATAAAAAAAAGTAAAAAAAAAAAAGTATTTCAACCAAAACAAAATACTGCAACGGAATGAACTCAGAAACATATATGAGAATCCAGTTGTCTTCAATATTCAGAAACATATATGAGAATCCAGTTGTCTTCAATTAAGTAAGACATTAAAGCTATTTGCAAAAATGTAAAATGATATAATCTTTTTAAATTCATTTTTTAATTTTTGAGATTAGGTTTTTAAAATAAAAATGTGGGAGTGCACCTAGGTGGCTCAGTCGGTTAAGCATCCGACTCTTGACTTCAGCTCAGGTCATGATCTCAGGGCTGTGAGATGGAGCCCTGCTCAGTGTGGAGCCTGCTTAAGATTCTATCTCTCCCTCTCCCTCTGCCTCTCCCCTCCGCTCATGCTCTCTCTCTCAAATAAATAAATAAACAAATAAATAAATATAATCTTAAAAAATAAAATAAAAATGTGGGGACACTTGGGTGGCTCAGTTGGTTGAGCATCTGACTCTTGATTTCAGCTCAGATCATGATCTTAGGGTTATGAGATTGAAACCCTCTCCCCCTGACCAATCAGGCTCTGTGCTCAGTAGGAAGTCTGCTTGAGATTCTCTCTCCCTCTCCGTCTGCCCCTTCCCTCTCTTGTGCACACACACTCTCTCCCTAAATAAAATCTTAAAAAAATAAGAATAAAAATGTGTAACACATAAACACATAATACATTTATTTTTTATTTTGAATTAATCAATAAATATTTTGATAATTAATTTGAATTCTAATATAGTAAATAGTGACAGATTTAACCCACATAAACAAAAACTTTTCATGTTTCTCAACTTTTTAAAGTATGTGGAGTAGGTGTTTTTTTTTAATATATAAAGTATTTATTTTTTAAATATGTGAAGGAAGCCCTTAGGGAAAAAAGCTTTAAGAACTGCTAATTAAAAAAAAAAATTGAAAACAATTTTATTTCCTAACAAAATCCTCATTATATAATAAATACTTCCTATCCCCAGAATTTTTAAAATATAAAAAAGAAACCTTTCAATTTTATAAACAAACCCAAAAATAAAATGTAACACAAGGAGTGTTACAACAGCTATGAAACTAAAGACTAACCTAGTCTAGAAAAAGCCTTTGGAAGTAAGAGTTGAGAATCAGCTTAGAAAGTGAATCATTGTGTCTTTGTCTCCACAGCTAGGATCATAAAGATAATATTAATATTAGCAGCTATTAACTTTATTTCCATTTTATAATAAGGAAGGCAATAGAAGAAACATTGTTTCAAAACCACCAAGAGATCAACAGTAAATATGGCAGTTTTTTGGAGGAGAAAGAGGTAAAAGAAATGAAAGAAGTTTTATTACTTTGTATTTTTTTCAGGTGATTAAAATAATTTATATTCATCACCATTAATGTGAGTTATTACATGTATTATACAGAAAAGATTGTAGCAAGCTTAAGGTCCAACACCAAGTAAACAGTGGAACCAGTGTTGAAAAACAATTAGATCTATGTCCAAGGTCTCTCCTTTTATCTTTACATTACATAATAATTTTGTCCTAACACATTAAAATTGCCTTATACTTCCCTGGCATATATAATGCATATTTGAATATTAAAATTTTAATCTCTTTATTAAAATTCTATTCTACATGTATTGCAAAGAATGTGGATTGTGCATTAGTGTTAAATTCATATTAATATGCATTGTGAACCTAAGCAAATGGAAAATCAATAAATGTTAGTGACATACTACATACAAACTCTATAAGGCTAGATTAGGCACTATTTACACAATACCAACAACCCTGTGAGGGGAAAATCAAAACTAATATATGACTGAGTGCTTAGGGAACATAAAATAGATTATAAATTTTTAAAAAGGGTTTTGAATTCCACAAATATTCAGTGGGCTCTCATGGGGCATGTGGCTAATAATAAAAGGTACATTCTTGCAGTAGTACTAATAGGGTTGGACTGGATAGAGGTAAGAACCATAACAGAAATATAGGCCCCCATATTTCCCAAAGGTCTGATAAAAGTATTTTCAAATTCTGTACGTCAGGAATCCCTTCTTAAAATGGCCTTCCTCCATCTGCCTTCTGTCACTAATGCTTGGCACTCTTGAGTAAAAGAGCAGTTTCTTATTCTGTCATCATATGTATGAGATAGTATATGGTAAGAACAGAGTCTCCAGAACTTAGGTTGGATTATACAAAGCTGCACTGCTTACTAACTGTGTGACTCTGGGCAACTTAACTCAACCATCTGTGTCTCAGTGTTCTTGTGGGTTGAAACTCGCATGGTAATGGTACCCATCTCATACTTTTTACCTTATTAATGATAAATAACCCTGAGACAAGTTTAAATGACTTATATTTTCATATTAGCATGCATTAATTGCTGCAGATACTTTTCTAGGAGCAAGTTTTGTTCAGAGACTATACAAGAATCAGAAGTGACAACTTTTATTTCTGAAGTAAGGGAAGATTATAGGAACATAGAACATAGAATGAGTCCTCAAGAATAAAAGGGATTAAAAATGCATACATACATATATACATAGCTAATTAGTTGTTGCCTAATGAGCAAACACAGAACTACAGTGGCATACAATAGTAAATATTTATTTCTCACATAAACTTGTGGAGTTTAGATGATTTGATAGGGCCTGTTTGGGCTGTTCTGTTTATTTGAGTTGGACTCTGTCTTGCATCTATAAATAAGCTAAGGGTTTGGTTATAGTCTGGATTTGGCTGGGATGCCACATCTTGGAACATCGATATGTTTGCCAGCTCCTGTGACCAGGTCCCTAGCTCAAGTACATACTTTTCATGGAGATGTGCACAAGAGGAAGTGCAAGAGAGGAAGCCCGAGTGCTCATTTCAGCAGCACATATGCTAAAATTGGAACAATACAGAGTTTAACACAGGCCCTGTGCAAAGATGACATGCAAATTCTTGAAGCAGTCCATATTTAAAAAAAGAGACAGAGAGAGAGAGGAAACCCCATCTCACAAGTGCTAGGTCTCCACATCACATCTGCTGAGCCTGTCATTGGCCAAAGTAGATGTAGTAGGTTGAATAGTGGTTGCTAAAAAGATACATCCACATTTCAGAATCTGTGAGAGTGAGCTTATTTGGTAAAAGGGTCTTGAAGATATAACTGTTAAAGGAACTCAAGATGAGATCATCCTGGATTACTGTGGCTGGTGGGCCCTAAATCTAGAGACAAGAGTACTTAGAGAGAAGAGGGGCAGACACGGACATAGAGGAGAGAACCATAGGAAGATAGAGGCAGAGATTGGAAAGCTTGAAGCCACTACCAACTGGAAGAGGCAAGGAAGTGTTCTTCCCTAGAGGCTCTGGATGCAGCGTAACTCTGCTGACAACCTTAACTTGGGACTTCTGCCATCCAGAACTGGAGAGAATAAATTTCTGTTGTGTTAAGCTACTAAGTTTGTGGCAATTTGTTATGACAGCCCTATGAAACTACCGTAACAGGTAACACTTTTGAACTTAGATTCAAGTAGTTAGCAAAGTAAGCACTGCTCACAGGTACTGCAATGTTGTATGGACTGAATACAGAGAAATTTGAAGAATTGAGGTAGTTAGTTCAATCCACCATATCTACCAGGACTCAGCCCCAATTCTCAAGAAAATGAAGAAGCTTCATGACACTTCTGTTTTCTAAGTTTTATGAAACATTAAAAATAAACCACTATCATGTACTCACATGCTATTTCATGTGATGTTATTTTGATTCATTACATGTTTGGTAAAAGACTCAAAGAGTCCCCTGTGATCTCTGCCTCCTAGTGAATCACTTGTTTATTTTAATCTCCTTTCTTTAAATATGGGTGGTCTCTGTGACTTGTTTCCAACCAATAGAATATGGCACAGGTGATGGGATGATACTCCCATGATTATGTTATATATAAGACTTCATCTTGCCAGCAGACTTACTCTAGAGATTTCTTCCTTGCTGGCTTTGAAGAATCCATGTTAGGAAGTTCACATATCCAGTTGCTGATGGAAGCCTCCAGGACCCGAGGGAAGCCTCTAGCTATCAGCCAGCAAGAAGCCAGGGAAGTTCTGCAAACACATGACACTGAATTCTGCCAACAACCTGAGTAAGCTTGGAAATGTATTCTTCCCAGTTGAGCCTCCAGATGAGAACACAGTTCAATGACACACATTGCAGCCTTGTGATATCTGGAGTAGAGAGCCCAGCTAAGCTAAGCTTAGATTCCTGACTCACAGAAACATTGAGATAATGAATGTGTGCTATTTTAAGCTGCTAAGATGGTAATAATGTATTAAGCAGCAATAAACAAATAATATAATATGAAAAGGGACATTTTCATGCTTGTCAATCATAGATTAGTCTCAATATTTAGGGAATGAATCCAACATAATTCACGGTTCTAAGATCTCTTCATTTCTAAATCTGGCAGGGTAATTAAATAAAAGTTACAATGATGAACTTTGAGCATATGTGGTAAATGAGTACAACAGTAGAAAACTGCATCCTGTGAAAAGGGGGATTTATTTTTGGTAGTGAACAAAGAGTTGGATAGAACAATTAACTCCCTTTGTAAATCTAGAGATTTTTTTTTCAGATGGAAGGGGGTAGTAGATTCATTTTGTACTGCTCTGGATAGAAATGCCATGACTAATGAATGGAGATCATAAAAATGCAGTTAACTTTCTAAGTAACTAAATGTGGACAGTTAGTGAATAGGCTACCAGGTAGAATGGTGAGTTTTTTGTTCCTGGAGAAATTTACGCAAAGGTTGAATGAAAGCCTATCCCTGATATTATGGGGGGGGTGATAGATAGGTAGATAGATGATAGATGATAGATGTATAAATGGATGGCTAGGTTGGTGGATAGTTGGATAGATGGAGATATAATATAAACAGACTGATACATGGAGAGATGGAGGAGATTTGGGTGGATAAATGAACAGATATAGCTATGATTAGAAATTATACAGATTGACAGAAATGATAGATGATAGATAGGTAGATAGATAGATAGATAGATAGATAGATAGATAGATAGATAGATAGATAGATATGAGATAGATGAGAGAGGGAGAGAAAGGCTTAGCTGGATAAGGGAAGAAGTAGATGAATGGATGAATAGAGGGCTGGGTGTAGGGTTAGATAGATAGATGCATAGATAGACGGACAGAAGCTAGCTAGACACAGACAGATTCATGGACGCATAAGTGAAGTAGATTGAGTTTTTCTCAACCCTCTTCTTCCTTGAGTCCTAAAAAATTTCAAATGTTTTTTTTCACACTGATATCTTGCCTCAGGGATGAAAATACTTTGAGTAGTGGAAACTTCTTTGCTAAAAGTGTTAGAAGTATGCTATATACTGTGAGCAAGGGGGAGTGAGAGCCCACTTATCAATCAATCTCATGCCTCTCAATGGTTGATATATTTCTTTTCTAGACTAATTTGTTTGTTGGATGGTGAGTGAATTACAAGCAGCACACGTTGGAATGCTTACTCTATCAAAACAGAAGTCAGCTGCTTTCTACAGCAATGGCTGATGCCAGCTGGCTAAAGAATGGCATTGGCTCCAGCTGTGTTTTGAAGCTACACATTTCATGTTTTACAGTCCAATCAGATGCACTGGCACTGAATGAAATGGGTCCAGAAAATACAAGAGAGGATGAAATGAATAGGAAGAGGATAATGCTATGTAGTGAAATAAATTCTAGTCAGGATTCGAGTTAATCGGTCACATTACACACAAATATTCACAGTTAATAATGTGAAAGCATTATTTCAGTTTCTATAAAGTCTTTCATATGTAGATTTTAGTTAAATATATATATTACATATATTCATGAACAAGTTGTGCAAGTAAGAAAAAATATGAAGAGATGTCATCTTTAGATTTGTTTCATTCGGATTTTAGCAAATTATTCTTGTATTTCTTTAGGATTTAAATAATGCATTCAAATTTTAATTTTATTTAATGTTACAAAAACAGAGTGGCTTTTAGATTTTGGAGTAAGTAAATATTAACATAAAGTATATATGTCGACCAACTCTTAATTCTTTCAATACTCTAACATTTCATTCATCTATTCAAATACTGAGAACCTACTATGTGCCAGGAACTATAATGAACATATTATAGAACATGAACGTGTTATAACCATTACTCTTAGGAAATCACAAGCTGAAAGGAGACATAGGAATAAATATTAATAATAAATTTTAAATAGAGGATTTTACTATATGACAAAGCCGTAAGGGAAGGGAATAATCAATTCTCTTTTGAGACTGGCAAAAATTGGTTAGAGAAAGTACTTTTGGTGTGCCCTCTAGCATAAGTAGGAATGATCATGAAGAGAAAAGAAGAATGGTAGAAGGGATGCCAGGCCAGGGAGGCAGCCTGATGAATATTTAGAGATCATGGTCATTTGGGAGGAAGAGTGAGTAAAATGGTGTATCTTCTTGCCCAGGGAAGAAGAGTCAGGTGTACAGATGTGAAAAAATGATTTATTACTTTCACATAGTATTTTCTGCATCTAAAGTAAAAGAGCTATATAGGCATGTGTTTTGTGTTGTGTCTATATTTCATTTTTTTAAATTAAAACTGAATCATTAGAAAAATGACACCTAGTAATGTAATTTCTAGGGTTAATTTGATGGTATCCCCTATTCATATTCTAGGATTTTCAAGGGAATTAAAAAAATATTTATTTATTTATTTATTTATTTATTTATTTATTTATTTATTTACTTATTTAGAGAGAGCATGAGCTGGGGAGAGGGTCAGAGGGAGAGAGAGAAGTAGACTCCCCACTGATCAGGGAGCCAAACCCAGGACGCTGAGCTTATGACCTGAGCTGAAGGCAGAAGTCTGACTGACTAAGCCACCCAGGTGCCCCTTTCAAGGGAATTTTTAGCAGCTCTATTATTTACTGCTTATATTTATCTGCCCATTCACTTACTCTACTATCATATAATTCATCTATTCACTCAAAAAGGATTTATGAGCCTCTTTGAATCTCGGAATAATGTCAGATGTTAAGGATATGACAGTGAAAAAAATGGTTCAAGTCTTTGCCTTCTAATGAAACTGACTATTCTAACTAAAATGACATCAAACTTTATAAGAAGATGCAAATTAGAACACAAAATTTCAGATCTTTTTGCTTGCCATTTAGAATTGTTATCACCTCTTGTAATTACTGTCATGGACACTGGCTCTTACTTTGCCTCTGGAGAGTTCTGATTTGGCCAAAATGAGCATGTTCCATTTTTCTGAATGCAAATTCAGATATTTGTATAAGATGGTTTTAAATGTTTATTCTCTTTGTGATTTGTTTTAGGCCACTTTGCCAAGGCCTTTAATTGAATAAAATTGTTATCCCTATATTTATCTAGTTATAATAATCAGTACCCTTAATTTTTATGCCAACTTTTCTCCATAAGCTGCCACAGGAGGGTAATGGCAATTGAAAAGCTACAAAGAGGTGGGAATAATTATTGTGACCAGCTTGTCATCAGAAAAATTCTATTAATCCTCAGAGAAAGTCCTGCCAATCCAGCAACATTTCTTTCCCACCGGGAGGGTAGAGCTCCTCATCCTTTTTCCCTGCCTTCTCTCAATTGCTGCCCCACATTTACTGTTGCAACTGCATTATTGGCTGGCGACCTGATACTTTTCTCCTGCCTGCCAAATGGTTAGGAAACCACAAGCAGGCTGCTTCCTTTTCTGGAGGCAAAATCACCATACACAAACATCCGACTCAGGATAAGTAAATTACCTTGGTCAATTGATTTACAATTTATCTGGGGCAAGGTTTTGATAGAGATATTAAAAGGGAAGTAAAATTTATAATACTGACATAAAGCCCAGAATTCACTGCTTCTGCCAAGATCAGCCACACTCTATACCCCACCAGGCAGGTTAACTCAGCTTTTTGGCTTATTGGATTTTTCCCTTT